AAGTATAATAAAATTGATGGACGGATCTTCAGTTTAAAAACCAATCAAACTTAAATTCTAAGAAAAATATGTATATCTACCTTGTTTAAACTTTGAACAGACACTCCCTTTTAGTTAAAAATAACAAAATATCGATATAAAAACTCGTCTGTAAAGTTAACAAACTATTGAACCGGTCATGCTGCATAATTTAATCAACAATTAATTACTCAAACTGCTTCTATCAACAGCTGCAACACATAATAAGTTTGCAACGTCTTACGTCACAGCAATTGGTGTCAGAATATTTCGTGATAGGCTATTGGACAACCGTTTTGTACGCTCGTGTCAAAGCGTGTCCTCATTGGTGAATTAAAAGACCTATCTAACAGAATTTTTTGATCTAAGAATTTGTGTGAATGCCGATTTAGATCATGGATTAACAATTTTTATATCAATAGCTGCAAAAAAGACAAAACAGTTAGTGGGCCTCAATAGTTTGTTCAGCTTTGTATTAAAATTATAATTTGAACTGTGTTCTTTAATTGGGATGATAACAGGGTATGAAAATGAAAAATCTAATTAGTCCGTAAGTTAGGTAATAAAAAATATTAGACATGTATTTTTTTATGTCATAAAATAAAACAACACTAAGATAAAACGAATCAAAGTTTAGGAGTGAGGGCCAAACCGTCATTTCTACGTATAAAATGTACATAGAAGTAACGTCACGCGACATTTCAAATCAATATATCATCGAAAGTATTCGTTTCTGTAAGAAAATAAAAAATACGTGCCTAATGATTTAAAATAATCTACCAGACTGACATTAACATAAAAATTAGGCATCTACCCTATTGATATTGAGTAATCCTCTAAATATTGGCTTTGCGTGTTTTATAATTTAAGTTTAAGGCTAATTAATAACCCTAGTCTTAAAAAATAGTATAATGTTACCTATTATAAAATGCGACATTATATTTCTATATAATTATTTACTTACACGAAGCTCGATGAACAGACTAATTTTATTTATTGTCGTTTACGGAGACTCGGCACAGAGCATTTATTACGGTCATGCGCATTGCAACGGCCCATTAAACAGTATGATTATAATGCGCTAGTTATAACCAGGTATCTAAGATGAACACCATATTGGGAGCTGTAATATACATACATAATTATGTGCCTGTCTTTGTTTGTTGATTAGTAAGTAGATATGTAAGTATTTGTATTTTTAATTTGATTTCGGAGACTCAACCACGTGTGTCGAAATGGTTAAGTCACATGGATACGGTGGCTCAATGGACTTAGTCCCTGGTTCCTGGTTGGTTCTCCCAAATGGTAATTTAGGTACTTTACATTAAATCTATTATTGCAAGAAGAGTTGGTCTGGATATTATTTATGGTCCATGAGTTATACTCATTCAATAATCTGAAATCGGTGAACTACTAATTAATCCATAGGCGTCATACTGCTGACATTTAAAGATCACATTATAGCGAAATTCTCAGCTCATAATACTTATTATTATTAATTTTTGTAGAAGCAATAATGAATTAATTACATAAATTACCTAAAATAGGTATTATAAATCATTGAATGTCAACAAATATGTTATACAAGCAATTAATTAGAAAATGTTAATTATTATTACTCATTTGGCCTTTTCTATAGATCGAGGTTCACGAACGGTTTCAGTGAAGAAATATGTTTTTTAATACTAAACCGTAAGCGATTGTCGTTTGACCTCCGTAAATGATTAGATATCAGAATTACTAGAATTTAGATAGATAACAGAAACAAATTTTGGAAAAGAACTTCTGCAGCAACTGCCGAATCACGATCTCCAATTCAAAACTCATAGGTAGTAAACAATTTTGGAGTTTTAGAAGATAGCATAAAATGTAGAGTAAGGTACATATGAAATGTTCAGTCATCCATCAATATACCTACTGGTCGAATAATCCGACTGACTGGCACTAACGAGGTAGGCAAAACGAGTCGACTATCATACATAATATGTTTGTTACAACTTTAACTGAATCAAACAGTTTGACTATAAAAGTGATTCAAAACCTCGTTTAAATATTTTCTCAGAAATACTTAGTCATAAATCCATTCTCGAATGGAATCTGAATCGCAATTATAATAAGAAAACAGTAAGTAGGTACTTTCACTCGAGATTATTTTAACAAAGATTACTGCTTTGAATATAATAATCTGCATGAAATAACTCATTAAGTTCTTAATTTAGATAAATCTAATGCATTACCCGCTTACATAAATACTAGACCGAGGCAAATCAAAAACAATCTGGACTACTTTACAGTCGTTTACAATATAAAAAAGAATCTGAAAGCCTTTGTTTAAAAAAAATGTTTTGATTGAAACATCTCAGTATCATCATTACTATTATCAACAGCCTATAATAGGTGAATGCTGGACAACTGGGCTGGCAGAAATAAGATTATTTATCATTTAGCAGGTAGGCGTGTACCTGGTCATAACTTTTAAAATTATCATATGTAAGTTATTTCAATTCGGGATTTAGGTATTAATGTTAGATTGTACATATACATAGTTTTTTATTTTAATCAGTCAAAGTAATCAAAAAATACCAACTGCTTAAGCAATTTACTATCAAAAAACAATTTGAAACAATTTTCCCCCCGATTGTACTCAGTTTCGTCAAAAACGCGAATCATGCGCATTTCACGGCTGTTACACATTGGACGAGCGTTTGCCGAGATAGTGGGGTGCGAGGAAGTAGATCACTGTTACATGGAGGCTACCAAGAAATGCGTACGCGCACTCGTGATGGTATTTTCTTGAAATATTTGATGGGGAATGTTGGTTTGCTGTGTTTATTTATTGATGGTGTAGAAATACATTGTGATAATAAATCTCGTGTCTTGTTAGTTAATAATTTCATACACTTATTAAACTGTTATGTTCTATAAGTGTGTCTATAATGACGGTACTCGACGAGTTAAGTGCTCTATTTCGGAGATGAGAATTATTGATTATGAATTAGAATGTGTATTTCTTGGTTGCAACACATAATTATTAATCGACACAAAATCGATTATTAATATAATTGCGTTATAAATTAAATATGGATGTAATTAATTCATGATTGCTTCTATAAAAATATTAATAGTATTATGTGCTGATAATGTCGCCATATTTAAATGTTTAAAAGTCATCAGTATGACGCCTATGGATTAATTGGTAGATTAGCGAAATAGATAAAATGTTACATAACACAATGTATAATTATTGATTAATTGCATAATTAATTAAATTGACAAAATACTCACGCACCTATTTACATGTAACATTACGGAACATCGTTCTATTGTAATATTAGCTGTAAATACAAATGTCTGTATGTTTGTAACTCCTTCACGTCAAAACGGCTGAATGGATCATGATGAAATTTAGGACACGTGTAGATTATTGTCTATGAATTTATCACATAGGCTACTTTTTACCGCTGGCAGAAACTAGCATCATATACGTATAATTATGTGAATTTCTGACAATAGCATCTCGATTGATCACTCTGCAATGCGCGTGCCAAACATGTCTGACAAACCCCTATTATGTTGAGGAGGTCCGTACTCTAGCAGTGGACTTTCACGAGCTTTTGACGATGAAGATGATGATTTAAGCTAATGATACACTACTATGTCCCACAACATGTATCGGCGACATATAAAGTGAAGTCGACAGACTTCGCTTGACATAACAATGCGACAACGCGCGACTTAAATCCACAGCGACGTTGATGGTGCCAGACATGTCGACCAAACTCCGGCAACTACTATGTTTTCATAATAACTCAACTACTATGTTTTCATAATAACTATCTTAAGACATACTAAATTAACTAAAAAGCTGCGGATTACTCACGTGAATATACTGAGAATAGAGTGAGCTGCGCGACGTTGCCGCGACCGCGCACGCTGCTCATGAGGAAGAACCCCTCTGTGGTTCGAAACTAGTAGAGCTTTTCTCAGTATATTGACGTGAGTAACCTGCAGCTTTTTAGTTAACGTCGCAAACATCTGTGGCCACACGTGTTGCGGTTCATTTTTCCTCTAATGTATCCTTAGCATTAACCATAAAATAATTAGCCTAAACAAGTCTATTACTAAATGAGATTCCTATCATGTCTATCCTATTCAGGTACATAAATAATCTAGCCTGAAAATGACCCTTGAATTGGCCGTTTCACGGTCAAATGAATCAGCTAAGTGCCCTACTGACTGACTGGTTAACCGACCGAGAAAATAAAAACCGGTCAATTTACTTACCATAAGATTTGACGATAAATTGATTAAAGTCTAGTCTTGCTAACCTTTCTAAACCTAGATTTCAGTATTTAGAGTTTAAAACTTAAAATGATATAAATCGTTTGACTGATTTTGTGGGCTAATGAAGATGGCTTTCCTTACGATTTACGTAGCTACATACCTACTGTAGGTATCATGTTAAATACTTCAGATTTTAGAGTACTTGCTTAAGTATATTTTGACGGAGTCATTTGTGAAACTGACAAGTGAGCATTTAAAACAAATATATAGGTTACACACTGGTTGTGTACTGAGAAAGGCATTACCTACGTATCGAAGTCATTTACAAACATTTCAATTCTTGAAAACGATATTCGTCTATAAAACGAACTAAACTTTCTTTGTACCGCGCGATGGATTGTTGACACATTGATGTACGATTGCTAACATTCTAATTTACAGCCCAATTAAAAACAAGTTTCTAATCTTTCAGTTTTCAATAGTCTGGGAAAGTCTTGTGGCGCGTAACTTAACTGGCTCTTTCAACAATCTATCCACGTGATTATGTAAAAGATAATCTATCAGCATCCGAGTGATCTAGATTTAAATAGCTCTGAGATTTAAACGACATTTTCCTCAAGTGTTGACAACTGAAAGTAAATCCACTCTATTGCATATTTAGGTGTAATCATAGTTAGTAAACAATAAAGGTCACTGACCTGTTCCACAAAGTTTTCAGCGGTGAACCTCTTGGTGAACTCCGTGAACGTCTCCTTATCCTGGAGGCTCTCCCGGCGCGCTCGTTCCACTTTCAGTTTCTTGATTCCCGTTATATCCTTGGACATTTTCAGTTCCTCTATCAAATCCGTTTTCGCGTTTTTGTAGATTTCTGCGGCGCTGGGTAAGCATTGTAAACTGACTGATCGTGCAGGGGGCGGAGCTGATAACGTTTTAGTGGCCGGTGTTCGCAGTCGCACTGCGGAAAGCTCGGCACTGCTGATGGCTGCCAGGGGCTGGTGCGTGGTGACGGGAGGCTGCGGCGGCGGCGGCGGCACGTTGTCGGCTGGCACCGGCGGCGGCGGCGGAGGACGCGCCTCCGCCGCGCTGTCGTCCCGCTTGCACGGCGCCGTGATTGTTTTCAAATACTCGGACGGTTTGATAAGGCGGTCGGGCGCGTTATGCGGGAACGCGGGAGGCACGAAGGGGAGCACGGCTTGCTTGTTGACGAGGTTGGGCCCGCGCGGTCTGTCGTCGTCTGCGGACGCCGCCGAGCCGCGTCGCCCCGCTGCAAGATTTCAAGATGGCTGCTATTAGGGGGGAGAGAAAGTCCGCGCTTCGGCGCGCACGCACCCCGCGCGCGAGTGATGCGCTGCGTGTACAATCGCCGGCGCAACTGTTGATTTACTAGATCGATATTTGGACGATGACTTAATTTTACATAAATTAATATGATCTGCTGACTAGATTTATTGTTACCGGCTGTGATCCCGATTGTACAAGCTTTGCATCACTGGTTTTATTTGATAAATGGGTTAGAGATCTGAAAAAACAAGTTTCCGTCTAACGTACGAAATATTTTAAACCGATACACTTAATAATACAGAGATATATAAAATAGATCTATATGTCTTCATAGGTAGTTGAACAGTGTGTCGTGTATGATATGTGTCGACAAGTATTTTTCCAGTGAGTTCACGTGCGACTGCGCATTATAACACTACTCTCAACACCTATCACTCCACCGCTCGAATTGATCGTCATAATGAATTTCTAAAATGCGATCAATACTGATTTTTCCTTTTTACGATTATTTAGTTAATGGTTTAGTCATATAATTTTTATTATAATAATATTTTCTTGCCTTTAACTATCTTCGGAAGGTCGGTGACCTTTACATATTTTTACGCCATTGAAAAAATAAGCTAAGTTTTAATTTCACGTCATGTGCGCGAGGCCCATAGCGATGACTTATAGTAAACTGCAAAACACGTTACTTTCCAGGAGCCACAAATACTGCGTCCTGTACATTTTTGCAGTATTTTCTGCCCTCTGAAAAGTTGCGTATTTCACAGTTACAAGGTTTTCACTAAAAGCTATCGGTAGGTAATCCACTCATGTAAGACCTTAGCAAAATAATATTACCAAATCAAATAAAACATTTCTAAGATATTGATCTTAATAATAACATAAAAAAATCGAGATTGATTTTTTAAAGCATTTTCTAGCGTAATTAAGTAGATAAGTCATAAAATGTACCGGAATTTCTTGTTACCACTGAATCTGTCTCACAAAATTGTTCGCACATTGTCTACTTGTTAACTATAAGTATTTGTGTGTACTAATCTATGATTCGTTTAAAGATTTGTTGTTATTTACATCAGGAACAAATATAAGCATAGTTTTACTGCCATGCTGCTATCGTTGGTCTAGTCCTATAGTGCATATAAACGTAATTTCGTAACTAGGTTAAACCCCTAGTTTTATTTTGCTTCGTTAGTAGTAGTTACCTACCTTAATCCTGAAATTCAGAACAGATTTAACAAGATATTTTCAGCATTAACCATTTTAAAATGTATCCCATAATTGAAAAATGTGACTCCATTTGACCTATTGAGCCTAGTATAAAGTAGATCAATTCTGTACATCATACGTTGTGTTGTGTACCGCCTCTGGTGTTTGGGCGACGCCGAATGCTTACCATCAGGTGATCCGTCTGCTCGTTTACCGGCTTATCCCAGAAAAAAACACCATAAGGGTCACTGGTGACTGATGTTAGCGGAGGAGTTGCCTTGAAGAGTTTTTATTTGGCACTCAAAGACCTAATTAGGTATGTACCTACCTATTCTATATTGAGATATTCCCTCATAAAAATTGTTTGATGTAATATAAAATCAAAATTACTTAAACTTAAATGCAAGTTTCGTAACAAAATCAAATTGGTGTTACATTGTAATCGATTTCCACTTAAGGCCACAATAGGGCCTCGCGTGATCGATTAACGTTTACGACAATATTTTGTTACATAAGGTAATAGCAAGTAAATAATATAGAACTGGTTAAAAGACAAGTGCGTGAAGCATATTATATTTTTGTCACTTATATACTGCAATATTGCAACTCTGAATAATAAATTACTACAATAGTTAAATACTATACCGATTAATAAAAACGCGACTAGTAAAGTAACAATACGATTGGCGCAGTGTTTGGACAATCGGCTGCTCAATGAGTCGCCCGGTTCGAAAAAACTCTGTCTGATCCACAGATTTATCAGTCAGAGTCCGGGTATAATAATGTAATATATGTATGTGAAATTGTATGTTTATAAACACACATACCTACCTGCGACCCGCACCAAGACGAAAATTGTAGCAATAGACAAGATTTCTATACATATAAATAATATTCGAGTGCCTATTTGTATAATTAAAATAACTGCTTTTTACATGCATAGGTAATATGATACACATACCAAAATAAAATTTTTACAATATTCGTTTGTCTGTCTATCTGTTTGTACTGACTTATCTCTGGAATGGCTGGACTGATTTTGCAAGACTTTTATTGGCAGGTAGCTGATGTACTAAAGAGTAACATAGGCTACTTTTATTTTGGAAATTTAAACTAAAGCAAGTTTTGTTGTAAAATTCTTATTCTACGCGGGCAAAGTACCGGGCAAGCTCAAAATAAAAAAATGAGACTGTAATGTTTAGCGAGATTTACCTACATTAACACTTTTAACACCCCTTCATAAAATATTTCAGACGTTTAGAAAGCACGCGAGAACATTCCACAAGGCAATCTCTCAAAACAGTAAACATAATGGCGATTAAATATTCAGGTGTGAAGCTGAAACCGTCTCACTCTGTTTGCTGAAACTGCCTTGATTCACTAATTAATGCGCCGGCGCTGGTTTCACCGGCAAACTGACTATATAACTTGGCTGTCAACTTAATACCTACTTAGTTTTGTCTATTAGGTATTAGCAAAAATAAAATAGGTATAATAATGACCTCAAAGGATTGTGGACGACAGATGGAGTCGGTTCATGTCAAATACTAACTGACATTCAGTCGAATCTAATTAAGTCCTTGGTTGGAAAAGGTTAGGAGTAAGACAGAAAGATAAATATAATATGCCCTACCCTTACCCATCATCAGCAGTCAAAATAAGTTTCATAAAAGGTAAGTCTATCAACCAACTAAACGCCAGATAGAGATCCAGTGTCTATGATATTACGAGCAATTTCGATAAAGTGGAAAATGTCAATAAGGTACAATTTACCTCAATTTTGGTACACAAGTTGTCGCCTATAATGCATCTACCCGTCACTAGATGGCAATAGTTACCGATAATTTGTTAGAAACTTGTTTGTTTGAATACGCATTGGAATTTTACAATTATAGACTTTGTTGGAAAAATAATGACAGTGAAGTGCAGTCTACAATTTAGCGAAGAGATGTATTATTTATTTCGCAAAGGCTATTAAAGTTAGACTACAGTAGATGTTCTGAATAAGGGAATCGTGCGGCTCCTTACAAGGACTTCGATCATGAAGCTGATTGTGGCTTCAGACCAAAGGTTTAGGATAAAACGTAGACAATTGTCTAGCCTAGATAATTGGCTTTAGGATAAGAGATGCTTGTTTGATTTTATATCTAGTCTTAGGAGTAAACCACCTTGTATTTAATCTTTAACTTTATTAAATGATAGCCGAATTACAATTTGACTGAAATATTTCCTACTAGAACGATAATTGGTATTATTGTTGAGTAAGTATTTAGTTACTAAACTGAAATAAAAACAGATCGTTTTTACTGCGACAATAAAGTCAAGTGCACGCCTACTCGCGGTCACTTTCTAACAAGTGCTCAAATGGGACAACATTTAAAATATAATGCGTCATTGCACCTATTTATAAAGTGCCAGGTGTGTCTGTAGATACAGCACGTTTAAACTCAGAAAATGTAAATTCTTAAATTAAAATACAGGTCTCTAAAGATTCTAGAGCATTGAATTTCGTCAAACATGTTATGAGGCCCATATACCTATGTAATAGTTAAACGGCGTGCCCGAAAACATAGAACTATAATTATTATGATCATTATCATTTCACAGAAGTACAGATCCACATTATTTAATAATTTAATATAACCATACGTTTTGTCCATCTACGATAAATCTAAATTGAAAAATCTAGACATAATATCTCAAAATGCTCTTTAATCTAGGTACGTAACTGTGAAAACTGTATCGAATCTTACCCAGACATCAAACCCAGACATAATTGATTAGAAAACTTAATTTCATAATTATCCACCGCGCATTCATGCAAGTCATCTTTCTCCTAGACCTTTCCGACTAAATTTTGGTCTGCATTTAATATTAGCCAAACCTATGTAACTACAAATTGTCATGCTTGACTATCTCATTTAAGAGAGGTTGGTCTTTTACCACACACGGAGAACGATTCTAGACTCCGTAATATTTTACTGAATATTTTGGAAAAACCGAAAAAAGCTCAATAACTTTTTGTCCAATTCGGAAATCAAACCTTAAACTTTACAGTTGTATAGCCACTCGACCAACTATGCTAATATTTTGAAAGAAAGAAAGATAAATGGTTTATTTGCCCACCGTCACAAAGTACATAACACACAAAAAATTAAACAATGAAGACCGCGCAAAAAGGCCAGAGCTCAGCTTAAATGCCCTGACCCGAGTGCGCTCGAGTCGCGGCGCTGATTTTCAGCACTTGCTCATTTTTAATCCAGCTTATTGTACGAATCTAAATAGCCCATCAATCTATCTTTATAATTCTATAGTGCATAACAAAGAGTTAGAAACACTTAGGAACTACTGATCTATATAAATAAAAATGAATTTCCGTTTTTTTATGGCATAAGCCGGTAAACGGGCAGACGGATCACCTGATGAAGACGAGACGGTCGCCCATGGACACCTTTTATAGGTGCTGTACCGGCCTTTTGGGGTTTAGGAGTTTGTGGATGGTCTGGGATTAGTTTGGGTTTTTGGTAAGGGAGTAATTGGGCCTCCGGTAACCTCACTCACACGACGAAACTAACGCAAGCGTTGTTTCTCGTCGGTTTTCTGTGAGGCCGTGATACTCCGTTCCAGCCGGTCCAATCGAGCCGAAGCATGGCTCTCCCATACTTAAAATATTAGTCTCGCTAAAACTCGAGAATGGCTGAACTGACATGGATAATTTTGGTTTTGAAATGTTCGTGAAAGTCCAGGGAAGGTTTAAAAGATGAGAAAAAAATATTAGGCAGTTCGAAGTTTGCCGGGTCAACTAGTATTTTATATAATTTAAAAAGAAAGATTATATAGATATATTTTTATGTGGAATAGGGGGCAAACGAGAAGACGGATCACCTGATCGGAGCATCTTTACAGAAAATACAGTTGTATTAGATCAATAGTCAATACCGCCACTATCTACTTTTAACCTAGATAAACTACAGTGATTATTAACGTAAGAAGCTCAGTGGAGTTGCAGTTAATTCTAGCTCGAAGTAGATACTAGTCTAGACTTAATAGGCCGGCTTAGCTTTCGCGTGTAATTAATGGTTTTCAACCACTTTCAAAGTATAAAACTAAGTATTGCACTGTGTAGTTGTGTGTAAAGTAGATGACAATGCTTGTTGGTTTTTCTTTGGCTGTAGAAGTAAAGTGTGGGAATGATTTTAATTATATATTTCGTGTTATATAATAGTTACCATTGTTTGGCTCATTGTTGTGTATGATTTATTATTTAATCTGTGGAATGTAGGTGTTTATTATTTGGAAATAGGTCAAAAGAATTATTATGTAACTAGCTTTTACCCGCGGCTTCGCTGGCATCACAAAAGGATAAAAAGCCAATGTGACATATACCAATACACACAGCGCCATCTATACCAATACTTTTGTTTTCCCTCGGGAATATCAAATTTTCACAGGATAAAAAGTACCCTATTATTTAATCCGGACTTCTAACTTTACATCTGCAAAAATTCAAACCAATCGGTTTAGTAGTTATGGCGTGAAAGTGGAACAAACAAACTCACTTTCCGATATTAGTAAGGATTCGACAAGTTTCAAGCCATGGTAGAGGCTTATATTCATGCAAGCTTGAAACTAGTCAAGTTCCTCGTCAAACAGTTACGTCAGTAAGGCGAAAACAGAACAATTAATTTAGGTCAAAATACAACGAAAAATCACATTTCTAAAATTGTAGACCCACTCTAACATTTACTCTTAATCAATGTCTACGAGCACTAATTTAAATTCAGCCTTATAATGTTTTTTGTGCGGGAATCGAAGCCGCGACACATTGCGTAGCAGTGGGTTACTCAGTTACTGCTCCGACCGTGCAGTCACGTATTAAACGCAAGGCACTATCGATCTACAATCATAGTGTTGAGCAATCCAGTCAATTAAGACCATAGACCATAAGACCGCCGATGCGTAACTCATTTCGAAAAAGCCTCTCACAGAATACAAGTAATTTAGGAAAAATCCAAAGTCGCAAATAACCAGTTCATTTAAAATGGAAAGTACAGCCAGTATTAAATCCAAGTCGTATTTATTTTTATTGTTTCAACTTTAGAATCAGAACGTTACTAACTGCCCATATCTGTAGAAAGTAAACGCATTTCATTAACTTCTTACTTAGCTAATTTCTTTCTTTTAACTATTAATAGGTGATGTCAAATTTTCTAATTAAGAACACAATTAGACATTACAATGAGGTTTTATGTTAATTTTTTTTTGTATTTTTGCTTGATTTTTACGCTAGATTCGGATTGAAAGGGAATGGTTGTTTTTTGTTAATTATGCTTAGTTTAGGCGAATTAGGCACCTAATCCGGTGTGAAGTTACTGTACTTGTTTGACGTATACTTTCTTTTATGTTACCTTGTGAACATAAGTTTAGTAATTTAAATGAAAATAGATCAGATGGACAACGGACCATTGATTAACTTGGTATTTTGTATAACATACTTTTTTAAAAAGAGGAACGAATGGAGTTTTTTGGTCGTTCTTCTTCATTAGAATCTACACTTTGAAATGAGCACTTAGCTTCACCTAGCTTCACTGACGGACTGACTGACAGACTATTATTTATTTTATATTTGTTGACGTTTAAAAAGTACCAAATTATGGTTTAATTGAAATAAATGCTTTGACTTTAACTCTGTCTTTGCTATTACAGATTTAAATGTACCTATTTATGGGATTGACATTATATGTGGTATAGTGTCTATGGAAGTTTAAACATCTATAAAATCATCGGAGCATTGACCAATTGCCTTGACATGTAAAATTAGGTGGTCGGTAATTTTTGCACAGATATTGTTTGTATATCCGGGTACATTACGAATCTAGATTACTTAAATTCGAATTCAAAAACCTCTTCTCTTGACGCTTGCAATTCATAAACAATACGCAAAATCAACACTTCCCTAAATACGTAAAAACCTTGTAGACACATATCAACACAAACACTTAATACAGTTTTATATCCCTAAAATCTGAAAGAGACTGATCCACAAAAATAGTTAATGCGATTATTCAAGCGGGTACCTACATAATTCGATGCCGATAACAATTAAGAAACAAACAAAACAGAAACAAGAACATTAGGAACAAAATAATTTATGACTGAAATGGGACATAAGACTCCGTATAAAAAACCGTGGGTTTCAGTTAGTATAAAAGCAAGGACCACTTACCTAATCTCCCCCTGAGCTCCGAAGGCTTTAGTGCTGGTTCTTCCAACACTACAGGTGGGGGTGGGGCTGGTGGTGCCGGTGGTGGTGGAGGTGGAGGAGGAGCCTCGTCTCCCGAGCTACCACCAGAGGACACTCCTGAGGAAGCTGAGGCAGCTTGCACTACTGTCGCTTCGTCTGATACTGACGCGCGTCTGCTGCCGGCCGCTGATGATAGACGGCTTGCCTAGAGGAAGAAGATAGTTAAGAACTGTACCTTTTAAAAAACATATTCGACTACAGGACCATTTATAACGTAGGATTTGATTAAATCGGCCCAAAAATTATACAACTAGGTTATCGAAATATAATTTAGTCCAAAAGCTTGTATGAAAAGATGATGGTATTGCAACTACCACCAATTTCGTATCACCAGTCTCATCTCACACGCCTATTACTCTTGTTTTAGGTCAAGCAATACCAAATTGGCAATTTATTTTATGTAAAAGAAACGTTAATTTAAAATTTTTAACATCATCTGAATTGAACATTAATGTTGCAGAAACAGGTGCTTTTCAGTCCATTCTGTCCAATCCATATTGTGACGGTGCTGTTAAGACCTATGAGTTCGTATGCAGTAGAAGTATGGACAGATCCTAATATTTCTCGCTACTCCAATATTCTCATGGTCACGATGAGTCTGGCATAATCTGCTTAGATTCAAAGACTCTTATTATATTTTAATAAAGAGAAAAAAAATCATCTGTTTCTGAACCAAAGGTAGCAGCAGACACGAACTAGGTTCGGACGCCTAATTATGCGCATCTGCGCAGTAGGTTATTGTAGTTAGACCATCTAAATGAAGGGTATAGCTTTTTTGGGTTCACGAGATGCGGATACAGTAGCGTGCGGTCTATTTCTCCAATCATTGTAAATGGAAAAATTTATTGTCCTATGGTTTAACTCTTTTTTATATTGATTTCTGCAACTTGGCAATCTTTGTCAACACCATAAGCCATTCGGATGGGGTGTCTTGATTTCTGTCTTGTCAGCAGCAGAAGAAATTCCTTGCGAATCCCTTTCATCTGGTAGGTTTGATAGGCTTGACTCTAGAAAAAATTCTTCATGCTTTCTAGTATATGGTGAGCAAAAAAATGACATTGATCTTATGTATTTACCAGATTATGTATTTTATATATTTTCTTGTATAGTATACTTACAAAGTTCTGTGCCTTATGTGTGAGTGCTGCCAATTTGGTGGCTATCGATGACTTGGTCTGCGTCTCTGACACTGGAGACGATACCTCCTCGTAAGCTTTGCTTGCGCTGTATAAATTAAAACGGATGTTTAACATCCTCCATTATGTATTGTTTAACAGTGTCTACTGAGAAGGGTTACTTTCAACGAGCTAATAAGATAAGCTTTATGTATATGAACTAGATTATGTTTATCTCTCTAAGGGTATTGATTTGTAACTTATAAAAACTTCTGCTAATTTGCAATAAATATATGTCGTATATTGTTCTATCTTTTCAAGAAATCGTCATTAAAATCTACTTCTTCTTGATTTTCTCGGTTTTGAACAAGAAATAAATTTCAATAATAATTTCGAATGGATAGGTTGTGAGTTAGTTTTGAATGTTCACGGAGAATTGAGTATCATGAGTAAAGCCGTGGTGGAACATTAGTTTGATAAGTGAAACATCATAGATAGTTCTTACGTGTCAGTGCTATCTTTGGTGTTGTAGTCCACAACGAGCGCGGCGCTGCCAGGTCGACTGTGGCTGCCTGAGTCGCGAGAACTGCTCCTGTACGCAATCAAATTATTAAAAGACTTGATAAAATAAAATACCTGATCTAGAATACCTTTTAATTAAACATTGTGACTATCGCAATAGGACATCATAATGTTCGTGAATGTGGGCAAATATTGAATACGAAAATTGGCTACATCTAACATACTTAATATGCGAACAGCAATAATCGGAGTCAAATTGCTGCATCCAAAATTAATCAGGATAATTTTGGCTGATATTAGATTAAGTATTAAAATAAGGGACACGAAATGTGCTGATTAGTTTAAAACGAATTTTAAATCAATCCAATACATTTTTCTTCTTAGAGAATCCTCAAGCACTTAACTGTTGGTAGTTTGAAGTAGTTAGTTTTAACTAGCTCATTACAAAACATGTCCAGATTGTATCTCAAATAACCAAATCCAAAACCAAAAAAGTAATTGAAAGTAAAAAACTCTTCTTGTGTTTTTTTTTCGTTTATTTTTCCTCACCTCTCCTATAAGTTTTTTATTGTGTCATATAACAGCAAACGAGAAGTTAAATAAACTGACCTTCGTCTCTGATGTTCCTCCCTGGGCATGTAGATATCCTCATAGTGGTGGTCTCGCCTGGTGGCCTCGGCTCCGCTGTCACTGTCTGACTGCTCCTGAGCTGTCGTGGCCTCCGCAGACCCATGGATCTCTGCTTTCACTGTATAAGTATATACGTTAGAAATTGGGGCATATTGGAAGAAAACTGTACAACTTTGAAGAAGTCGTTATGATGGAAGCTTGCTTTTAGAGATTATGCTTTAGTTTAGCTTTTGGGTGATGTAATAAGGAGATTACATATTTTAAGAAATAGAAATAGATTTGAGCAAATTTACTAGGAATATTTTTAGTTCGGCAAAAAAGTATTGCTGCCTTTTATTTTCATAGCCGTAGATGTCGTGTAATTTTCAGCATTATAAAATAAAGCAAAGAGAGCATTTGACGAGAACTTTAGTAGCAACATAAGTAAAACAGGATCCAGAACTATTCATACGTATTTATAAGGCACGGAAAATGTACATTTCATTAGAGGTAAGTTTTTGACGGCCAAGCAGAAAAACAGCTGAGAAGTTCCGAAGAATCTAGAAGGTTCTAGATAGGCTAGCAGTGATTCTGACTCCTTACCAGTCATTATAGAATCATCCGGCTCCTCAGACTGCCTCGACCCTGGAGAATAACGACATTCTAACTATTGATGTTTTTGCAAACTGTGGGTCGGGCAATATAGAGCCTACTTACGAAGTTTTTTTTTACGTAGTTGTACAGTATCTCTCTGGGTTGAATAGCGCTTGTGATTTGTTAAAAAATAACTTGACTGCATTTCAGAAGAAGCACATCTTACATTTATCCCATATTAGTTTAAAATTGTATCTCAGTCGCCTAAATAAATTCATCATTTAACACTTAAAACGATATTGTGAAAGATAATATCTTACCAGTCATAGCGGGTGCCTCCTGTCCTTCAGCAGGGACCCTAGGTCCCGGGGAGCGAGTATGGAACAGGTCTCTGACGCGCTGGTAGAGAGCTGCCGGGGCTCCTGAGCTGCTATTGTTGTTGTGGAGGAACCAGCCGCTCGCCGTGTTATCCGCGTCTGATGCGGAGCAAGCTGGAGGGAGAAACAAGAATGATGAAACTAGAAACCAACCAAGTCGGTAAAATGTTGATAAGTTTGAAAATATTAAAGTACAGAAATAGATCTATATGAATTCAACGGGTAAATTAGAAAATGAAGCTTATAAAGTTGACATGTGCTATTAGTATTATTCGGATCTTGTCTCACAGTAGATTTGGCTAACTCAAAACTTAACAAAATTGAATCTGTGACGAGCGATATGTTATCGAAAATTCTCGTAATTCTATCGTATTGTAGTAATAATACTACTGAATTAGCTATGATCTAACAACAGATAGATAGGTACTTATTATATAAACACAAATTCTTCAATAGTAATTAACTTCAATTAATGATTTACACCTTCCCTTGTGTAACATATCGGTACAAAATTACAGTATTACTGGGTATTATGTAGACGTTATATACTACCAATTGAATTGGAGCAACATATTGAAACTTCTTACTACCATTATTTACTGATTCTGATTGTGTTTACTTTTATTTCAAAGATCGGTCTGACAGAATTTTGAGTCTTTTACACAGTCTTCTGTATCTGCATTTTATAACGTGCACCTAGCTTTACTAATACATTGACTGATAGTTTTATTTTACCGTTTCAAATAGACCTGTATGTGTCATTGAAGTAAAATTTTCTTCCTACCCTCAAACTATTTGGCAAAATATGTCTTCGTTTTCCATTCGCCTCTATTCATCCTATCAAAACCTTTATTTACTACCTCTTTCTTTACACTACTTGTAGCTACAATAACTACTACGGCGCCGCCCGACCCAGAACCAGACCCGACCGTACGGCGCGTCGCAATCCGCGCGCGCCTCAAGAAGACATCAGACCACCATAGATTTGTCCCAGTAAGGCTGATGCTGATACAGAACGGCGGAGGACTTAACAGGTTGCCGGGGCACCGGCTCGACAAGGAGTAGGAAAGGGTTTTTAGTTAGTAGGACAACTAACAACATCCGCTCGCCTCACCCGGGCGGGAGAAGTAATTGGTTGTTTTTCCGTATATTCAGCACTGGTTTTTAAACATGATATTCATCCACAAAGACTTAACTATAGGGAACTTAATTGATTCATAAATTTTCATTAGCAACCCGCTAATTACTAATGTAAACACTTGTAACGAGGTAGGATATAGTATGGTTTGCGTAACGTGTTTCCGATGCTTGGGTGCGGTTAATAGCCCTTCCTGCTTCCTATTTTTACATCTATAGACGTTTGCACTTGTATACTCTTTTTTCTCCCAACCAGGTATTCTACCAACAAATCAAACGTATTTAGTAATACCTATATTAAACTTTCTTCTTCTGTAACCTGAAAACACTTACATGAGTTAAACTGTGGTTGGCAAAATACTTCGTCTTTGCAAATTTCTGAAGCACTGCACAGAAGAACTTAAGATGAGAGCTAGAAATCAAGCTTTCAAAGATTTTGGATGTCCAAGTCGTTTTTATTCCAGTAACAGTTAGGAAATTCTAATTCGAATTAATAATAGATACAAAAATAATTATTTATACAATACCTAGTATAGCATTCCCATTTCCACAAAATTACTACAAAATAATAATGATTTTAAATAATTAATATTATTCACTGAACACACCGTATTCTGTATCAATATCATTCAGCCAATCTTGAATCACTGATATTTTGGCTACATCCATCTTGACCAATTAGCACTAGTTAATAAAATATCCCCACAAACATGACATAAAAGAGAGAATACAGGTAATGTGCAGAACACATTGCTAGTATTCCATTTTTAACGCGGATCGCGAGAGAGGCGTCCATTCACGACGGAGGCAGGAAAGCGACTGCTCAATCGGGTGCAACGGTTACCTAAAGCTGCGTGTGCGCTTCCTAGCGAGTCACTTCCGTCATATTACAATTAGATATGCTAGATTTTTCACGCATTTGACTGGATAACGCTATGGTTTATGGCTTTGCGATCACACATGACTGCCATACTGACTCATAATGATCAGAATATTTTAGGAATTGGTTAAATAACTATAGGTAAGGGACTAGTAATTTCTAATAATTTACAATAGTATATTTTATATTGATATAAGTACCAAAGACTAATTTTATTACATTTGGATACATGTCCTGAGAACATTTTAAAAGTATTGACTTTCACACTAGCCATTTTATTTCATTGTTTGTTGCGAATATACTTAGAACCTAAACATTATGTGTATTTTAGTTTTTCATACTACTATAATTTGAACGAAACCGACTTTAGTTTATTGCTTGCTATAAACCCAGCAATAATAGTTACTTCATACTTCGCTTCGGTAATCAGATTAGCCGATATACAGGCAGCCGGCTTCATTGCGTATAGACAGATATTTACAATTACAACCTATGAAGTAACGATTAGGAGAATTCTCAGAAATGCAAGTTACACATTATTGCACTTTCTTGTACGAGTAAAAACATACGTGTCTGCGGTTTTCCGAAGGTATTATTTCGTTGTAAACTGATCACCCTGTTTGGAGAGTGGTCGCGAATGGACTATATAAATGATGTGTGAAAGTTAAATTTTTTTAAGGGAGGAAAATAATCGGATGACTTCTCCCGCCTAGGTGAGGCGCGAGGGAGTGTCAGACTCTTACTGACTAAAAACCACCCCGTTCCTTTTCCTGCACTTCGAGCCGGAGCCCCGGTAACTCGTTGGGTTCTCCGCGACGTGATAGTTACAAAAGTGGTATTTATTGTCAGTCATAACACTCTTCTAATTAACTGTTTCAGAGATCCAACTTATAACTAACCACTGAACACCATCCTGGATTCTGGATGTCAAATAAATGCTAATAGTTTTACTGACATAAAGACAGACCGAAAGACCTCATAATACACTAATGATCACTAGATCTAAGGCTAATAATCTAAATATCAATCAAAATGACGAAATAGCACCGGATTTACAGCTAACCGTTTATTGTACTACTAGCTTTTACCCGCGGCTTCGCTCGCGTCACAAAAGGATAAAAAGTAGCCTATGTGACATATACCATTACACACAGCGCCATCTATACCAATACTTTTGTTTTCCCCCGGGAATATCGAATTGTTCCGGGATAAAAAGTACTCTATTATTTAATTCGGACTTCTAACTTCACGTCTGCAAAAAATCAAAGCAATCGGTTTAGTAGTTACGACGTGAAAGCGGAACAAACAAACAAACTCACTTTCCGATTTATAATATTAGTAAGGATGAATGAAATATTTAATAATCATTCAGAAACCGGTCAGATCAGACCGCTGTGCATGCACCTTATATCGATCACGACTATCATGACCATTACAACCTGTTCTTAATTTCATCTCGTCATAATAACACCATAAACCGGTTACATTTCCAATAACTGTACTTATATGTTACGTTAGAATAAACCTGATTGTCAATTGCGGCGGTTCAGGCGGAGAGAAAATAACCGCGCGTGTTGATGGAGTCGCGCGGGTAATGTCGCGTGTTTACAGTGATGGAAAGTTTCTATATCAAAATGAATTAATGTCATAAAATAAAAATATCTTAATTAACTGTAAGCGTATCTCTATGTATGTGTCTTTCAGAAGTCGGACAAATAGCTAGTCGGTGAATATTTAAGAATATTAAAAAAAAATGTATTAGCAGTAACTAGGTACTACATGAGTAGAGGTACTTTAGTCAGTAGTGACCACTTACAGGCTGTTGATGATAATAATGATAATAATAAAGTAGTTAAATAATAATCATTGTGCCGATAGTCGTGTCGGCCAATGGGTTAATCCGTAAAAGCCTCGACATCCATCTTAGGAGACTGGCGTTAGGTGGATGGATCAAGGGCCTGATACAGAAGGCAGTTCACCTAGAAACGGCACGTATCGTGAGGAGGTTTCTGTCTCTGGAGCCCTAACCACCGGTAGCTTGGACCATGCTCCCACTACTGGTCGGCTCCTATTTTTTATATTTTTAAATATTATTTTTTTTATTTTGTAAGTAGTTAATAAAAATGTAATTTATAGAGAATTTTAAATAAATATATGGAAGTAGTTAATTTCCTACCAAACATATTTTATGTTTTTGTTTTCAATAAGATCAATCTGCCACACATATTTTATTTATCGACGAATAACGAATCCTCATAAGATATAAAATAATTCTATAACAGTTTTCAAATATCAGAGAGCCGCGTGCCGTAATGGAGTACCAGCTTAACCTAACGGTCTGCTGTCGACCTTGCTACTACGTAATAAGACCTCCGGGCCGCACTCTTACTTTCATCTCGATGTTAATCTCTTAGGGTCCGCTCACATCAAGACGCTACGTGCAGCTGTGCGCGTTTTAGTTGATAACGGCTCAAAAATTTTATTTTAGATCTAAGATTTATATTATTAGATTTGGATGATATCTGATTTATATATTTTCTATTTTTTTTTGGCCCTAATAACGAAAGATATCTAATCGTAAGGTTTTTCTATGTTTTAAGTGCAGCAGAAGCATTAAGCCTAACGCTTGAGCAAACCAATTTCAGTGTGTTTGGTACCATCTAAAAGTCTATTTTATAATCCACTAAATTGAACATTGATTTTCGATAATTTATATTTTGTTCAAGTGAATGTGCCCAAGCCAACAACATAACGTCAACGTCTAACGTCTACTAGAAACCGCGCGTCATATCGAGCCCCAGTGTGAACTAACCCTAACTGCATTGGAAAGCAAAAGTGGTCTAATACACCGACTTTATGAGAAATTCGTAATTTATAGCCGATTTCTTATACTCTGTGGTCGATAACTCAATATGGAGGTTGAGTATATGGATTTCTTTTTGCTGATTTTTACTTTTTTATAGAACTAGTTTGAACAAGGTTACGCTAGTTTACGATCTGAGTATGTAAATTAGGAAGATATTGATTGGTATTTTTGTTGTAATTGGTGATATTTTGTTTGATGTTATTAATTGATTAATAAAATAAACAATAACAAGGAAAGTGATAGCGATCAAGTAACCGTTATCACTATCATTTGTCGCTGCTCACTTCAAAGTTCCTTAACCAAAAATTGCGGTTTATACAAATACTGTCTATGAACTAACCCCCGCCCCCCAACTGTCCTAAAATAAATGTAAACTTCAATTTTATTCCAAAATACCATTATAGAGTACCAGAAAATTTCTGGTCCTTTTTGTTACTAGAGGTACATTCTTCTTAATAAGTTTCAAAGTTGGTGGAGTTCCGAGTGGTCGCAAGTGCGACTGCCGGGCAAGGGCAAAGTATTACTGAGTTTTTAAAAAATTCTCAATTATACCACAGAGTCTGGAATTGTGCCTGGTATATTACACCCCCTATTACATGGGACTCATAACATAAATAGTGAAAAAATGAGATTTACATTGTACAGAGGCATAACGTACACCTCTGCCTAACCCTTCGGGATAAAGGCGTGATGTTATGTTAAGTTTCAAAGTTTACTTGTCACATATTTACCTGAACTCTCCTCCCCCGAAGAGCTGTGATGCGTGACACTGGTAGACGTGGCTCTCTGCATCGGATTGACATACAGTCCATCAGCAGGTCCGGAGCGGGCTGAACTGACGGAGCCGACAGTGGAAGGTAAGGAGCCACGTCGCTCCTGCACAGAGTTGCGTCGCTCCCGCTCTGGAGCGTGCAGGTAGAAGGGGGAGCGAGTACCATTCATGTTTATGCAGTTCGGTAGGGCGCACTGGAATTTGAGAAGTTAATTGTTAATTACGTGGATTGGAGTTGGATTTGAGTTTAGTTTTATCTCCCATGTGTTCAGTATTTCCCTTTTAAGTATTATTACCAAAATATATACCTAATTAAGGTAAATTTTCATGGAGTACCTACATACTTTGAAATCGTCATATACAAGTATCAAATATCATGATTTTGTTCTACGTTTTAATTCCAAATTGAAGACGAACGACATGTTTGTTAGTATTTCCTAAAGTTACAAAATAATTACCGACCTCTATACAAAACTATTCTTGTTTTATATTAGTAATAGCGTCTAACATTTAGAATTTTAGATAATTGCAACATAATACAGAAGTTAGACGAAACAAAATATCGATCGTTCGCTTTTATTGATTACGAAAATCATTAACATCATTGATAATGTACAATATTGTATAATGTAATAATATTATAAAGTCGTAATAGTTTAGTAAAGAAATCTAATGCTCAGCAATCATTTGTAATCTCCGTGGATTATGTAATTGAAAAACTTCACCCGTTCAAAGAAATATAAGAGTGTTGGCTAAGCACTTAAAGACTTTCGTAAAATCACATTTCGCTAGTACCTAAGTGTTAATGCAATATCAACTGTTGGACATTTCGTGCCACAAGGCGTCTCCCAGGGCGACCATTCCTTCGACGACCGTTAACCGTATTAAACATATTTTATATTAAAAACTAGGTCGTGACATGGATCGTAAAAAGAAGTATGCACTTCTGTTATTGCTTAGGAGATACAGGAAAAAGAAACAAAGACGATTTTGGGAAGATAAGATTTTGATAAGCGATGCGAATCAATTCGCAGTTCTTGCGATGCGTAGAGAGAGCTCGAACATTTTTGCGATATGATATCGCATCGCAGTTTTGTGTACGAGCCCATAATGCCTCCTCTACATAATAGGGTTTGCCATAATCCCCAAACTTGGAGACGGCTAGGAGAACGGAATTTATAAACAACAAATAGGTTGAAAAAACCCAGTCGCAATAAAATTTTGTATCAAATGCATCCAAAAATCTGTGCATCTTACTGGAAAGACAAACAATGACACGGTCACGTTGCCAAAGTAAATCGGAATAAAACAAATACAATCAAACGAGCATCACACGGTTAGTTTTATTTATTACATAAAATACTGTTTACTCTGGTACCTAGATATTTTATTCCTTTTTATGGAATAGGCTTGGATAAAGGTTAACTAGATAATTGATCGAATGATAATGATATGGGACTTAACCCTTCCATCAACTATTACTATACACATATACAAGTTCCCCAGTTGTGTATAGTTTGGTTTCTAAATTAAACGAGCAGATAGACCACTTGATGACAAGTAATCAGTGACGTCCACAGACAGCATAATTTGAAATTGTATGAATCTTGTTCAAAATACATGTCCTTTCGTTTTTACAAAATGGTTTACTTACTCTCGCTTCTCCAGGAGCACATGCGCATGAGTGTATCGCCTTGTAGGAGGAGAGCTGCTTGTTGTCCGCCCCTGCCGCACCCGCAGCCACCAGCACGTTCAGGCACTGGGGAAAGGCACATATATTTTGTAAGAAGGTTAATTTGTAGGGTTTGTTTTGCAAAGCATGTTAATGTGTGCCTTAAGAAAAATAATTCATTGTCCAGCATGTTCCAATAACAATAGACTCGATTCTATTTCATACCTAAAATGCTTAGGAAATACGATAATATTTTTCTTTTTCCATTCAGAAGACGGTTTATAGCAATATATAACTATTCCATATACAGTTCTATATTATCTAATAGTTCGAGAGTAAATAAAGGTATCACCGTTACATAACTAAAGAGTTTAAAGTAGGCTCGCTATGTGTTAAATATGTTAATAAAGTTATTTTTATTAATGATTATAAGGTTTCCAACTCATCTATCTACCTTTGGGTGAAAATATAATTTAATGTTATGCATAATTTATTAGAAAACATATCAAAACATTGTGGTCTGAATTTCAAATTAATGGAAAGGTAGCTGTAATCAACCATAATTTTGCCACTGCATCACCTAAAGGTTTGGCTAGAAGAGAATGCTCATGGCATTATTTTGTACATATTTTGTCCATGAAGTCATGAAATAAATAAAAATAATGTACAATCGTCCTCTCATTAATACAGTCGAGCCACAGAAACTTAACAAGCAACCACTTAATATAAATGATCCAAGCTCTATAGAAACTAAACAAATCAATCGATTATTATCAATTGTGCCCAACTCGATAATTGACGCCACGAAATCACGCTTAATAATCTTACAACATCAACAAAGAACCTTACCCAAATTTTATTCCTACTGAATTATGTATACCTAAAAACTTCCGTAAATAACCCTGATCTGAAAATTTCAGCTGATAATACAAATTCGCACAATATTTTCATTGTTCAACAATATGGCACTGACCTCAGTGTGACGAGCAAAACGTAACAGGAAGTGACATGTACCATTGTTCCACATATTATCTGCCGTCAGAGGTCGCTTAAGGTTAACTGCAGTGACCCTTGAAATGACAATTTTATGTGTCAAAACGTTATTAGTTGGTTATTAATAACCAGTGCCTATAACCCATTAGCGAAACGCCACTTTAGGGCTTGTCTACCGAGAGTAGAAAACTAAATGTATGGGGGATGACACTGACAAGTGTCAAAATTTACGTCAATAATAATTTGGTTTTCTATTCTAGGTAACGTTCTAGCGCTAAATGGCATTTGGCTACGGTGATTCGCATTCGCATAACTTTACTGACTAGTATACCTATTTCTGCTTTTCAACCGACTTCAAAAAAAGGAGGAGGTTCTCAATTCGACCCGTATGTTTTTTTTTTTTTTTTCTATATTTGTTACGCGATTACTCCGCCAATTATGAACCGATTTGAAAAATTCTTTTTTCGGCGTATAGGTAATACCTCAAGGTTGGTCCCATTTAAATTTACTAATAAAAATAACAACCCCCAAGGGTGGAAAATAGGGGATGAATTTATATATACGCAATAACTCCGCCGATTTTAAACCAATTTGAACGATTATTTTTTTATTGAATAGGTATTATCAAAAGGGTGGTTTCATGCGAATTTGAAGAAAATATTTCAACCGTCAAGGGTGGAATTTGAACGATTATTTTTTATATTTCACCCCCAAGAATAGAACGTTAGTTGTTACGAGATATCTCATTAAGGCTGCGCGTTTAGTAGGCCTACCCATATTAAATGCACTAAGGGTATCTACAAAAAAGTAACACTAAAAATTTTAAAATAAAATAATTAACTTTTTAAAAAAAATAAAACCGACTTCAAATGCGAGAACACAAAAAAAAACTAAAAATTAAAAAATAATTCCTAATACCTATTACCTAATACTATAATTTTTCTAAACTATATCAAAGTAATTAAAGTTAAACCATCTAAATATCTTAAAATAGTTATACTTATATACCTACCTATTGTTTTTTGGAGTCGGTGCCAGTAATAAATGAATATTAAACCTAATGAAATAAGAAAAAGTACTCAATGAAACAAAAATGCTGCTTCCCGCCACCGCGTCGCACGTCTCTAGTTCGCGGGTAAACTTAATACGCTGGCACTGGCACCGACTCCAAAAAACAATAGGTAGGTATATAAGTATAACTATTTTAAGATATTTAGATGGTTTAACTTTAATTACTTTGATATAGTTTAGAAAAAATATAGTATTAGGTAATAGGTATTAGGAATTATTTTTTAATTTTTAGTTTTTTTTTTGTGTTCTCGCATTTGAAGTCGGTTTTATTTTTTTTAAAAAGTTAATTATTTTATTATTAAACAATATTGTGTTTCATTTTCCATGCTTTAAGCCGAAATCAAATAACTATCTTATTCCTAAATCTGTTAACTGAGATCGATTTGTAATGAGACTAGATGGATGGGGTTTCTATGAATCGCTTTGACTTATCAATTGGTTATTATTTAATTTCGGCACATCTTCAAATTACTCTACCCCTAGCTACAAGAGCAAATGAGCTTAACTAACCACAATATGTGATTATGTGATTAGCATTCCCGAGACTCTTGTCTAGCATTGTATCTTACTCATGAAACTGTAAACTTTATTATTATATTAAACTAATGATAACCACAAAATAGCTCTGTAGGTATTTGCGGTTGTATAAGGCTGCAGATGTAGGTAACTGTTTCTGGTCAACATACTGACATTCCTTCATCGTAGCATCAGACACGATTTTTTATTTTCGTTCACTATACAAGGTGTAGTTTTGAAACTGTGTCATTTCTTGGGGGCATGTCACAGAAGTCATAAAGGTTCTATGTAAGAGAAAATTTCGGGCAAATAGTTAAAAACACGGCTATAATATATCGTTTAAGTTCGACAGTATTTCAGAATAAGCGACAGCAATGTTTCTTATTGGAGTTTTATGGAATTAGGAATAATATCAATTACGTGTTTGAGTTTGTGTGTGTTAAGTCGCGTTATAAAGCTAGTTACAAGACGGCGGCGTGTACTTCGCACTTACGGATTCGGTAATTTCAGAAAAATATTTACCTACAAATTTTTTTATTGATTCGGACTCAGAATCGATATCTGAGTTACATCCTAGAAAATGACACGGCTTTAAAACAATACCTTGTATAGTCGGAACTATGTAAGAATTGGGACATTATCTACATTATTATGTTTACATAAATCACATAAACATGGCCTAAAAATTTATTCATAGAGAATTATGAATATGTAATTGTATGGTATATATATATATTCATAATGATCATTGTATAAGGCCTATTACAGCATTAGGCACAGAATTTTTGTATTTAAATTATTCTGTCTATATTAATTTAAATGTAAATTGCATGTTCAAGAAAGTGAGAGCATATCCGACAATCGATTTAGCATAAATAATCGATTTCCTAGTTCTTATCTTAAGACACAGACGAATGTATGAAGCTGTTGCTCGGAGACTGGAAATTTTCAATCAAAATTGATTTTTCATAAAGTAATTGAATAGATAATATGCATTAAATTGTTTAATATTAATGTTATGTAAATTGCGTACATAAGTTTTGCGGTTTGCGTTATATTTTTTAATATTTTGCTGCAACTTAGTTGTCTGTAATTTCCAAGATTGAACATCCATCTATTGCCTGATCATGTCCCTCATTTTAATAGGATCAAATAATAATAAGTTGGTACGAACTGTATTGTTTTTTTTTATTTTTATCATTAACTTTTTCTTTAAAAAACTGCGGGTTACTCACGTGAATATATTGAGATTAGAGTGAGCTGCGCGACGTCGCCGCGACTGCGCACGCTGCTTATGACGAAGAACCCCTCTGTGGTTCGAAACTAGTAGAGCTTTTCTCAGTATATTCAGGTGAGTAACCCGCAAGTTTTTAGTTAATTAACTATTTCATTAGTGAATTCGTTAAACACAAGAATATAAAGTTCAACTTCAATGCAGCTAGTCACTGTTTAAAAGACATATAAACTAATTAAATTCATTCATTCATTAAAAGTCAAATCTACTGATTACAAAACACGCACAAAATAGACAATACAAAAACTAAAAACATATGCACAGATTAAAATCAAAGCACTCAGTTTTACTTTCATCGGCTTGACCAGTGTTAAGAACGAACGATTAATTGCGCACACGCCGAAAACTGCGCAACGACGTGTGACCAGTAAAGAATGATACTTTCAAAACGTGAGCTTTACTTGTTACACTGTCAATGGACAGAAAGTGGACAATGGGTATGTGGTACTACATGGCTACTAGAAATTCATGCTTAAACGAGCATGAGAGACACTTACCTAAGTGTCCGTTTAAGTATTTTGTTGATAACCTACCAGTCTGTATAAGGCTGTCAGTTATAAAGCTGGTATTATAAAACGATACTTAAACGGAGACCTTGGATATTGTGTTGAATATTTGCACCCTTTTTAACTGTACCTACTTGAGAAGCGATCTCTACTTGAGTAGCTATCGATTTATAACTAATACTGGTCTTAGTCTAGGCTGAGTGTGAATTGTGTATCAAACCAAATGATGGTCTATGTACCTACCTACCATTATGTATATAACCATAGATAATATAATATTCGTCTTTAGAGAATTGTATTGTAAACCTGATTGAAAAAGAGTAACATTATGGAGTTTCTTGCTCGTTCTTCTACTTATGAATCTATACCTTGAAATTAGCAAATAGCTTCACTTTTAATTTTTTTGTTGACGTTCAAAAGTGTCTTTCTGATCTAATTGAAATAAATGATTTTGACTTTGACTTTTCTTTTTCTTACATAGACAAAGATGTAGGTACATTTAAATTACACAGCAATTTTTTATAGGTAAATTATCTCTAAACATCTCATAAGAAATGTACATTTTATATATTATTACAACAGTAATTTAATAATCAAAAAAGAAGACTTGGTAATTGAAATCAGGATCTCGAATGCTAAAGAACTATAGTCCAACGATTCGCTCTACATTATTGAATACTTGGAAACTCGGAAAAACGATGGAAAACTCAAACAAAGAGGTAATTAATGCGACGCTGTCGTTGTTCAGTTAATTGTATCTGTAATGACTTGATGAACATAAAACGCACTTTCTATACCATACGAAGGTAGAAACTACTACTAGTGTAAGGTGTACCTACAAAGAAGACTTAGTTTATTGGCATTGAACATGTTTCATTTTAATTTAAAGACTTCAATACATAAATACGGTTGTAAAACTTGTTACTTGTATTGGAACTACCATTTAATTTGTGTGTCACAGTGAAATGAATGACAGAATGGAGTCAGTAATTACAATTATGGCGTACAATAAGTATATGTGTAAATAAATCTTTTTGTTAGATTATTAACAACATAAACTGTAGTCATTTGCCTTAGAAGTAATTTTTCAGCTAATTTAACATAACATCACGCATTTTATTCCCGTAGAGGTAGGCAGAGGTGCAATGTAACACCCTTTTTTCACTATTTATGTTATAAGTCCCATGTACTAGTGAGTGAGCCTATTGTCATATACCGGGCACAATGCCAGACTCTGTGCTACTACTAAGAATTTAAAAAAACCAGGAACTTCAGCTATTTACTTTCTCATAAAAATTATTGGTCCCCAAATATCAAAATTACTTTTTAGCTAAGTACCTACGTAGGTAAGTGAAGACATAGATCTTACAATACATCTACTTACTATAATAAATTTACTTAAAAACTTGCTGTCCACCAAAATTCCCATGCATTGTGTGAATAATATTTTAAAACCACCACTCAAAAATACTTACCTCCAAATGATGATTTTCAGCTGCATCATTGATGGGGCTCTTGCCATGTCTGTCCAGGTGCAATCTAGCACCATGTCTGAGCAACCAGCGTACTGTACTGAGATGACCCCTGGAGGCTGCGAAATGTAGAGGAGTGGCCCCGTCTCCGTCTCTCGCATTAGGGTCAACGCCACGCTCCACAATCTGAGAAAGAAGAATATTTTTTTTTTATATATTTATTTTATATTTAATGGGCCGACATTTGACCACTATCTCGCCTGGTAAGTGATGATGCGATCTACGATGGAGCACGTCGTCCTATAAGCAACCGTTGATTTATGATCACCATTATCTTACTAGGTTTTTCTGGTGACCAATTGACATAAAACCCGTCTTTCATCAGTCTATCCTTCATTTTGTTAGTCTCATTCAACACAATAGAAGAAGGATCCATTGATTTGGATCAATAATTTTTAAACCAAAGAGTAAAGATTTTTTCCAAGCGATAAACAAAATCAAGACAATATGCGAAGCAGGTGCAATCATATAAATATATTCTTTTATAAGCTACTTTTAAAAATACCGTCTTCAACCTTTTTTGATAAACCATCTCCTCAGTATAACAAATACTTTTCTGAAAACCACAATAAAATCGGTTCAGCCAATCGCGAGAAAATCACGCACAAACATACATACAGACCTACAGGTCAAACTTTTCATTTCGACCTTCTTTTAATAGAAGTTTGTTAATTATTCGTATAATAAACATGAATTTCCCTCCATATCATTTCATTACTCAAGAATTAATATTAATTTCAATAAAAACACTATTCTACACATGATCAACGTTTCTAAACACTTAATATTTTTCACTTAAAAGCCGCGATATTTCGTTGAATGGAGCTATCATGCGCAGGCGCATTAAAATCGAATGATATGACATTAGATTTCACCGCAACACAGTAACTGCGATACTTAAGCTGTAAATACAGATATGACTTTGTTAGATTAGGGTTCCGTAAGTAAAGTAAGTGAACGGTTAGTTTTTATTACAATACCAAATAAGAATAATGGCATAAGTGCAATTTATAATAAAAAAAAAACGTTGCCCCACACTAGGATTTTTTCCTGTGTCGTGGGTGCGTTTATAAAGATACACAAGTTCACATACAAATAATGACACTCAGACCCGGAACAACAATTTGTGGATTACACAAAGAGCAGCAATCGAACCCGCGGCATGTTCGCGGCAGCCAGTTGCCCAGCCACCGCGCCAACCGTGCAGTCAAATATTACTAAAAATATTATTTTTATTAGCCTAACAAAGTCCAGTTTTCTGTATTACGTTGCAAAAAGGAGTACAATATCCAGTTTCAGTTTTAAGACCTACATTTTTCTAGGAAAACAGTATGTACTCATTGTCCCCATTAAAAATGTTTTAGCTAACTATTCTAACTGAACGTCCACACTGCCAGTTATTCAGCTTTTTATGGTTATATCAACCAAACAAAACGTAGTTTTCTAGCGGCGTAGTGTAGTGACCTCTTACGGGTATTTCTAAACGAAAGTCCGTATGCTATAAAATTATACTAGCTACCACGGTACAATGTTAACAAAAGTCTAGTTCTTTAATAATAATTTATTTTGTCCAGATCGAAGATGTCAATTTCATATATTATGCTTTGTTCATCATTAAAAAACTACTAAGAAAATTTATCATTGTTTCAAATGAAGCTTTTTAATAAGGTAGCCCAAAAATACTGCTAGCAGAAGTTATTTTTACAGTATTTTCTAAAACAAGTCTGCCTGTTTTAGACCAAAAAGAGCTTTAAACAAACAGTACAAAATTACTACACAGTACAATAGGGTAGATGCCTAATTTTTATTTTAATGTCCGTCTGGTTGATTATTTTAAATTATTAGACAAGTATCTTTTATTTTCTTACAGAAACGATTACTTTCGACGATAGATTGATTTGAAATGTCGCGTAACGTCACTTCTATGTACATTTTATACGTAGAAATGGCGTTTTAGCCCCCCCACTCCTAAACTTTGATTCATTTTATCTAAGTATATTGTTTTATTATACTACAAAATAAAAAAATACGTGTCTAATATTTTTTCATTACCTTAACATGATTACGTCATCATCCCAATTCTTTTTATCTTTCCATAATCTAGATAAGTGAGCCTTCTACAAATACTCTTGTTTATTGCAAAAAAAAACTAGTACTATAAACTGTTTTGAAGCTAGCACACCGACCTTGTGCTAGCTTGCACAATGTAATATGCATCTATAAAAAAAGTTTCGCTCTCATCATGATTACAACTTTAGAACTTAATGGTCAACTTAGTCAATAAACGCAATACAAAATCTAGAATGTTCTTTGAAAAATATGGTAATGACAGTGTTAAAATATGCGTCAGCTAATTAATTAGAGTGTAAAATGTGTGAAAGGAGTCGTAAATAAATGTATTATATATCTGTTTTTGTAGAAGACAGTAGGTAGGTAGACAGAAGTGTCCTTAAGTATTTTACACATATTCCTTGTCTTTAAATTATTAATAGACCAATTGTGTTTGAGAATGAGCAAGCAAGCACCAGATATCAAATCAGAATATTATTTTTTTGAGATTTGTGTTTCAAATAAAGACAAATGTCTTAACTCGTCGAGTACCGTCATTATAGACACAATTATAGAACAATAGGTTGCGGTCACCGGTGACCGCTTGGTGTTTGACAGTTTAAGAGCAAATCCTCTAACTCTTAATTCAGTAGTCGTGCTACTCGTGCTAGTAACTATATGATCAAACGAGAGGTGTTAGTAATAAAAGTAATAAAACTAAAACGAAATTCACTCTAACTGATAAACTGATAAAAACTAAATCAATTTCACATCACATACATTTCACCGGATGATTTAATTAAAATTCCACATTACAACATAAAACATGGCTGCTAGCTACCATAATACGGCAAAAACGTTGATCTCCGGAATCAATAAATCCGTCAGCAAAGTCTCACGCTACTTGCATAGATGGCGCTGACAGCGGATAAAAACTAACGACTATAAGAGAAATCATGAAGTAAGCACATGGTCCAGTATAAAATAAATAAGTAAAGAGATTACATTTCCGATACATTTGTCACTGTTAATCAGGAAGAAGGAATTCCTGAGATAAATCGTTGGATGCAGGTGTAATGGACCTACTGCGTGACTACCGGCTGGCTGTTTGTGTGTTTACACAATATAATATATAGACAATTGTCTATATTATATAATAAAATTGTAAACCATTAAATGTGTACGATGTAACACAACAGACATGTGATTTTTTGTTGACACAGAATGGTCGTATCTGATTAAAAATGATTGTATGGTTTGTGCAATGCCTGCATAATCAGATGCAATGTCGTGAGTCTGATGTGATCCACAAATATTATTACACGCACACATTATCGTCGCCTATGAAAACAAACGGACGACACTACCAAAAAGTTTTAGTTATCAAAAAATACAAGCCTGAAGAGCAGAGGCAGATTAAACCTAGCGAGTGTACTTGGGAAATAAACACCTTATCGGCGCTCCTAATTTTTTTTTTCTCTATGGGCACGCGCTTCTCACGGCATCACGGCGCTCCTCTTCAACCTGACACCCTAAGCGCTTCCCTAGTTAGCTTAAGAGTCTCTTCGGCAGAGAATGGCTCTGCTGAAGAGACAATTATTTAGTTATGTTATAGGCAAATTATATCAGTGAACTCACCATCCATTTAACGCAGTCCAAGCAACCGGTCTGGGCAGCTGCATGAATGGGCAGCATACCATCCCTGGCCCTCGCATCCAGACGCCCTCCAGCCTCCAGCACCAGATATTTGAGAACTGCCAGATGCCCTTCCTGTGCCGCCAGATACACCGGCGTCACGTCATTGTCCATCGCCGTGTTGGCACTGCGGAAGATAATTTTAAATTAATTAAACAAAACACATGCGACATTTTTCTATACTATCAAAATGTGAAAGAATTATATTATATAATTAGCTGTTGCCCGCGACTTCGTCCGCGTAGAATATGCATTTTAGAACATAATTTCTTTTGTTTCAATTTTCCAAAATAAAAGTAGCCTATGTTACTCCTGAGTACCTACATCAGCTACCTGCCAATAAAAGACTTGCAAAATCGGTCCAGCCATTCCAGAGATTATCTAGTACAACCAGACAGACAGACAGACAAACGAAAATGTGTATCTATTGTATATTCATATCGTAAAAAGCGATAATTTTAACATTACAGACACTCCAACTTTTTTTATCTGTTTATATTGTAGCTTTCCTGAGATAATTATACTAAATTCATTATGTTTTCGGCTTACTCACGTAACTATCTATCTATATGTATTAGAAACATAGGTAGATACTTGAAATTAGTAGCAATAGCAAATATTTCCAACTCTTTTTTCTTTTAAGTGGCAACCGAGTATATTTTTTACTTATTTAGGGGTGATACAGTAAGATTTGATATACCTAGTAACGGCCATTTTGTATTTAGAATTTACACGCACACCAACAACTGGAGGATAAAAATAAAACGATCATATTGGATAGGTAGTTATCTATTATGTCATGTCATAATTATATTTGATTAGAACAAAAAACGATAGTTAATTTTATGATTAACTAGCGACCCCCTCCCAGCTTTGCACGGGTGCAATATTCATGCATAATACATGATATACATCACATATAAACCTTCCATAAGAATCACTCTATCCATTAAAATAAACCGCATTAAACTGTCAAACACCAAGCGGTCACCGGTGACCGCAACCTATTTCTATATATTGTGTCTACAAAACCGGTACTCGACGAGTTAAAATCCCATGTGTAGTTTTAAAGATCTAAGCATACATAGGGACAGACAGACGGCGGATAGCGACTTTGTGTTATACTATGTAGTGATAATACTGAATAGAATTTACGTTTATATTATGTCACACATAAAAATATAGTAATACAATAAAACAATTTGCAAAAACTCTACTTTTCACATGGGGTGTGGTCGACCAAGGGTACACATTTGACAAAGTTCATATAGTAAGGCTTTTTGATAAAGCTAAATGATTTTTTTAATCCACGATCCACGTCGGCCAAGCATGACGATTATGGTGAAGATGCCAATAGTCTATTGATAATTAATTTTGTAATTTGTATTTATTTAATTTTTACTACATTCCTAATCTTACCTTTTTTCCTCGCCATCGATTGTGACAGTCATGATAATGTCTTATAATCACAGATACTAATAAATCATAATGTTAAAGGTTAAATAAAAGTAAAAATCACATCACATTCTAATTAATTGTCAGTGGTTAATGCACAAAAATCTAGCAAACACAAACACTCATTGTAAAAAAAATTGTCAAACAAACCACATTCGAAAAAAAAATATCGCTTGTCAAATTTAAAAAAAGAATCACACTTCTCGCGCATCTAACCGGCCAGCATCACTAGATGCAGAATGCTTTAATAAAAACTAAAAAGTTTTCGACCCAGTCTGACCTCCATAGTGAAACTTTCGAAATCGACTAAGTATCTAGGTTCGGAACGCAATCAACACTTATATTAGCACTAATTTAAAATACATGAATTTTATAAACATTCCTCTTTACATTCTAATAATTATTAAAGAATTAACGTAAAAATGTTTTTAAATGTTTTGGAAAATTCGAGATGTTTTGGTTTATTTTTTAAAAGTTAACTGACATTTGTTTTGTATTTTATATGTGGTTGTGTATAACATAAGTACGTTTATGTAATGTGAATAAAATGTGTACGAGTAAATTTCGAGATTAATTACAATTTTAATGAGGTCACTGAATAAGTAATACTAATTACCAAACAAGCATAAAAATAAGAATCAAATTCTAACTTTAAACCTAGATATAGGCAGTTTGAAAAATAAATGATGAATGTACTATATTTAGATTTGACCTTCTAATACCTTAAGAGTTACAAACAAACAACAAATCTTTCATACTATTCACAAGAATATTGCATAAAATAAGGCCCCGGGCGATTCCAAACACATAATTTGCGATTAGTATCAAATACCTATCTAGTGACCTCTTGGATTGCACCTGTGGGGGTCATAATGAGCAATATCTGATCAAGATAGAGAATTGGGATGATGACAGGGTATCAAAATTAAAAATCTAATTAGACCGAAAGTAAGTATTCTGTCGTATAATAAAACAATACTTAGATAAAACGAATCAAAGTTTAGGAATGGGGGCTAAAACGTCATTTCTACGTATAAAATATACATAGAAGTGACGTCACGCGACATTTCAAATCAATATATCGTCGAAAGTATTCGTTTCTGTAAGAAAATAAAAAATACGTGTCTAATGATTTAAAATAATCTACCAGACGGACATTAAAATAAAAATTAGGCATCTACCCTATTGATTGTGTATCGTCTAATGTAGGATGACACAACACTAATTAGTTATATATGCGTTTGTATTTAAGAAACATCTTGTTTAGTTGTAAATGTAATAGCGATTTTATTTGGTCGTCTTTTATTAAGTTTTCTTAAAGCCGGTAAGCGAGCAGACGGATCACCTGATAGTAGATAATCAGCGCCGCCCATTGACACCCAAAACACTAGAGGCGTTACAAGTGCGTTACCGTTACTCATGTCCCTGGGACGCGCCAGACTTCAATGTTCCGGTGTTTTCATGGTTGTATCTACTGTAAATCCTGGCTTACAGGAGTTGCACCGGTTTTGGGAGGTTGTGGCGGGCTTGTCCCATAAAAAAAGTGCTTACCGGCCTTAGCGCAAATGAGCTTAAAATATGCATAAGAAATATGATCGTAATTATTAAGATTTTATTAAATGTAATAATGAAATGTAACTGAAAACGGTACAATAACTTAACAACAAGCCTCTTGTTTCCGATAAAAATAAGCAGAGAAATATATTCTAATAGGTAAGCTCGTTAGTCGTAAGTAGTTTTACTTTACTTAATCAATGGGTGAATCAATGTATAAACTACTAGCAGCCCGTCCCGGCTTCGCACGGGGTAGACAATTATTTATTTTTGGAAATTTGGATCGTTGTTGTGACATAACATAGTTGGACACATGCTACCGTGGAGTTTTTTGTAGACATTATGATGTTCTTCAATATTGTTGTACATTATTTTGTTCTATCGCTAATAGTTTCGGCAGCGCATTCGACGAAAGATATTTTAAGACTCATTTTCTACACCTTCGGTTACATTGTTCAAAATTTACCAAGGATCCATAACTTTTTCAAAATGAAATGTAGCCAATGTAAAATTGGACGAATGTAGCATTCTATTGGTGAAAGAATTTTTTAAATCGGCCCAGTACTTTTTGAGCCTATTCATTACAAACATACAAAAATAGGTACAAATCTTTCCTCTTTATAATATTAGTATAGATAAAATAACTTACTCTCAAAACAAAAATAATAATCAAAGTAAAAACCAATACTGACAACACGGTTGGCTGGGCAACCGGGTGCCACTCAACGTGTCGCGGGTTCGATTCCCGCACGGAGCAACTCTTTGTGTGATCCACAAATTGTTGTTCCGGGTCTGGGTGTCATGTGTATGTGAACTTGTATGTTTGTAAACGCACCCACGATACAGGAGAAGATCCTAATGTGGGGTAATATTTAAGAAAACCTTGATAACAACGTAAGAACCGCTTGCGCAGTAATTCCATCTTCGATACAAAAACCTAATTTAAGATTGACCCTAATTCGACTTTTAAAAGCACATCAGCACTGCCATTGTCCATGCCAATCCCATACTTCGATCTTAATAAATATGATAAGTGTTACAAAATAATTTAATTATCACTTTGAAATCATTAATTTCATTTCTACAGAAGTATATAATAGGTATGGGAGTAACTGTGAGTTATTATGTAATTCTAACGACTTAAATTAATATTTTCTTTACGTTCGTCTCTTCATTGGAATTTCATCGCAATTAAATTATTTCGGATCATTGTTGCTGCAGTTTGTACTTATTAATACATATTTTTACTTTATTTTCTTAGCTATATAATATAGTATTACGTGTACAAATCTTTGTCTGTGAATATTTAATTATTTAATTATCTAATTCCCTTGTTTTAAGGGTCAGAAATGTTATGTAACTTAACTTCAAAAATAAATAACGATTTATAATTAAATATTCTTGCGGTTAACGTCTTTTTTTTAAGGGGGGAAAATCATCGAATGACTGCTCCCGCCTGGGTGAGGCGGGAGGGAGTTTCAGAATCTTACTGACTAAAAACCACCCCGTTCCTTCTCCTGCACATCGAGCCGGAGCCCCGATTATCCGTTAAGTTCTCATTTAACATCTACCGGTAGAAATTAGTTTCCCAAAACGACCTCTGTAGGAGTAGAGCTGAGCTAGAACTGTCGTACCGGAAAACGATAATATATAAAGCACTTAATTGGGGTGCAGTTATTGAGGATTAGGATTTTGAGGATTATTGGGGATTCAGGGATTATTAGAGAGATTGGGGGTGGCGGGTAATTGGACCTCCGGTAACCTGACTCACACGACGAAACACAACGCATTCAAGCGTTGCTTCACGTCGGTTTTCTGTGTGGCCGTGGTATCACTCCGGTCGAGCCGGCCCATTCGTGCCGAAGCATGGCTCTCTCACACTTAAAATGTGTTTCAGTTATGTCAATTTCTAGAAGTTATATACCTTCAGAATACCAACATATAAATGCTATATATCAAATGATTGTTATGTCGGCAATACATCGATCTCACAGCGTCTCACGTTTCACTTTTATTTTCTCTTTTCTCGTTGCTTAGCAACGGTTGTAGGGTCGAGTTGAACGGCCTATGACGGCCTATGATGATAGCTTATGTTATAACATTATATTAGAGATTGAT